AACCGCACCATCAAGCTGCTGACCGGGGCCAAGTACAAGATCGAGGTGGCCCTCCGGCCCGGCACCGTCCAGGCCACGTAAGTGCAGCCTCCCACCCTGCTCTGCTCGGGGTGGCTCCCCCGGCCCTCCCTTCCCCGCTGCTTTATTTTTAGAGGTTTAATATTTTTTCCTGGCAGGCTGACAGCACGGGGTTTCTGTGATTTCTTCCTCCCCGCCCTTTTGCTTTGGTGGCCCCGTTTCTAGCTTCCCAGCCAGCTGTTCCCAGTGCTTTGCCGCGTTTTGGAGTCGCTGCCTTCCCTCTCCCTCCCCACCTTCTCCCAGAGCTCTTTCAAGCCCAGCTCCTTTCCTCCCTCCTTCCCCACGGTTTGCCCTGGAGGCAGAGGGAAGAGGCCCCTCCGGCCCTGCGTGTCAGGGACGCACCGTGCCCAGGCCTCGCTGCAGCGCTGCACAGCAGAGACCGGGAGCAGGGAGGATGCAGATGGGGAACCGGCTCTGGGTGGAGAGGCAGCCCTGGAGAAGGGATTCAGCTAACCTTTCCCCAGCTACTCGAGATCAGATCCCTCCTGCCTTTCCTTTCTACACTTTCCCTGGGTGACTGCAGAGCTTTGACATTTTTCGGGAGCCCCAGTGAGTCAGCAGCACCTGCAGGTCTGCTAAAATCCCTGAAGCATCCCCCAAGCAGAGAGGCTGCCAGCCCACATGCTGGCTCCAAGCTGCCAGGGAAGGGGACCTGCGGGGCTGCTGAAAAGCTGAATCCTGTCTCTTTGCAGCACAATGGGCATCGGGGGTGTCAACGTCCCACTGGAAGAGAAATCGAGGGATGCACAGGTGGCCTCTTACACAGGGATCTACGACACAGAAGGGGTGCCCCATACCAAGAGCGGGGAGAGACAACCCATCCAGGTCAACATGCAGGTATGTGGTTCTCCAAGCCTGGCTGGCATGGGAAGACAAGGGAGGGCAGCAGGGGGTCACCTCCACAGCTCCCTCTCCGGGAGTCGAAATATTCCAGGGCAAAATCTGATCGCAGCTGCTGCGCTCCTCTCTGCTTTGCGTCAGTAAGACCGCTGGTCTGAGCGTAACTGGAAAACACAAGTCCTGCTTCCCAAGGGGAAGCCAAGAGAGCAGCAAGGGCCAGGAAGCAGTAGGGGGATTTCTAGAGATTTGCATAGCCCTTTGGGGTGCTGCAGGAGAAAAAAATAGGAGATGAACTTCTCACCTTTTCTGTAGGGCATATTACAGACTTTGGGCAACTCCCACCAAGGTCCCTGGCTAGGAATCCAATCCCAAGCCCTTGGCACACAGGAACCCTCCTTTTGCCTGCCAGCGCTGCCAGATTTTTTGGAGCAGAGCATGCGCCAAGCACAAGGAATGACCACTCTCCCCTTCCACCTATCATCTGTAGGATGTCTGAGGACCTGCCAGAGGCTGAAAGCAGACGCGAGACTACACATACCCCTCGAAGGCTGTCTTTCCCCACTTCTTTCCCCACATGCTTCCATTATCACATTACCTCTGCATCTGCAAACCTAAGTTCTTATTCAAGGGGGTCCTCACCCCAACCTTAAAGAGAAGCTCCAAGGGCCAGAATCAGTGTATGCCATGGCCCCAAAGTGAGATGACAAAACCTCAAGCCCATAAGGCAGCAGAGCTGACAGAAGACAGGAAGAGCAGCGGGCAGATTTCCACAACACTCTTTGGGTGGTACGTTCAGGGTGCAGAGGTAGATTTGTTTTGTTCTGGCTTTAGTTTGGTTGTTTGGGCTTTTTTCCCCCCCTCTCCTGATTACAGTTGTGAAGGATTCCTGCTGTTTATTCTATACCAAAAAGGGGAAATGGGGCAGTAAGCCATCTTCATCTGAAACTCTCTTAAGGGTCTGTTCCAACTTAGACAAGTTTATGACCTTGTCAAGCCCACCAAATTTCAGCTTTTTCTCACATTTGCTCACTGCGCACAAGAGTTGATCTTTATCTTCACTATTTTTTTCTGGACTCATCATTTAGCATGGCAATCCCCTTCCGAATAAGAACTGTAACATCTCCATTTGGTGTTTCTAATAATTACAGCATGCCTAACTTAATTTTGGAGACCCACATCACATTAACAGTTACCACTTCATAACCTTAGGTTAGTAAGACTACCCTGAAGTATTTCACCACGTTAATCACTTTTCTATACAGTCACCTCCATTTAACATCCAGGAAAACCAAACACCCAGTATGACTTCTCAACCAGCAGAACAGAGCTGCTGGGTGCCACTGTTGAGTATTGCAGTTATATTTCACAATGTCCTTATACCAGGAAGTGAAAGGGCAGTGCTCCCCAAAAACCAGCTGCTTTGACTAAGGCACCCCTATTTTGATAGCCACCTTTACCCTTAAGTGTAGCTCTGATGTGAACTCTGAAAATCAGGAAGTTTAACTTTTCTTACAGAGAAGACCAAGTCAAATCACAAATTAAGTAAGTGGAAGAAATGCAAAGAGGTTCTGATTTTCAGACACAAGCTCTGAGATGGTTTGTTGCAGCATCAGAATGAATAGCCACAATATTTGTCCAAACAGTAGCTTTCACAAATCAAACCCTGGGATATTGTCATGGTTTAGCCCCTTTTCAGCAACCAAGCACCACACAGCCACCCGCTTACCCTCCCCTCCCTGTTGGGATGGGGGAGAGAATCTGAAGGGTAAAAGTAAGAAAACTTGTGGGTTGAGATAAGAACAGTTTAAGAACTGGAATAAAATAATAATAATAAAAAAATAATAATAAATGGTGAAAAGGAAAACACCAAGAAGAGGAACAAAACCCAGGGGAAAAAAACCCAAGTGATGTAACTTCTCACCACCCACTGACCAATGCCCAGCCAGTTCCCGAGCAGTGATTGCTGCCCCCCGGCCAACTCCCCCCAGATTATATACTGATCATGATGTCATATGGGATGGAATAGCCCTTTGGTCAGTTTGGGTCAGCTGTCCTGGCTGTGCCCCCTCCCAGTTTCTTGTGCACCTGGCAGAGCATGGGAAGCTGAAAACGTCCTTGCCTAGCTTAAGCAGTACTTAGCAACAACTAAAACATCAGGGTGTTATCAACATTCTTCTCATACTAAATCTAAAACACAGCACTGTGCCTGCTACTAGGAAGAAAATTAACTCTATCCCAGCCCAAACCAGGACAGATAGTAACCATGAAGCTAACAGGATTTGCAAGTGTTAAGCAGGTCCTCAACTCCTTTTAGGATTTGATCTTGATAGATTGGTTCTTCGGTACACACTCAGATGTCCACAACTGATACTTTTAATTATTAAATATAGGCAACTCAACAGGGCTGAGTTTAACTCATCATTTAGCTGCTTAGCTAGACAGAGCCATAACAGATTTAGGGAACCAGCCTCAGACACCCCAGCTTGAAAACTACTTCTAATACCTACTTTGTGAATCTTCAAAACTAGGCTTATTGCGTACAGCTTTAAATTTTCCTATTTCCTTCAACTATGAGGAACTTCAGCCTCTACTTCCTTTTCTGTAACAGTCAGGATCCTGATGCATCCTAGGGAGATAAGAACACTATTTATGGCACAAAATCTGAAGTCACATTAGAAATAGGCTGTGAGGTCAGTCCTGCAGTTAAAAAACAGTCTGATACTGCCAATTTAATGCCTAAAAGCCAGAAAGTCCATAAGAATTTATTTCCCATCTGCTTTAAAACTTTAAACAAATAATTCTTTGTGCTCCTACTTTAACTGGCTGGTAGACATCTTACCTGTTACAGCCATAGTTTATACATGGAAAACAACAATCCCATTTCTGAATTCCAGTATCTGAGGATGCATTTGTTACCTGAATGTTCAAGTATGCACACTATCCAGAAACCACTGAACTGACTAGGAAATGATGTAAACTAAGTCAGAAACCTCTCCTTGGATCTCATTTTATTCTTGGTCAGACTAGATTAAGATTGGATAAAGAAGCCAGACCTCCATTCCCATAATAAATAGCCATCAAATCATCCTAGCATGCAAATTCAGAGGGAGTGATTAAATAACTATTCACACCTATAGCAGTGGATGACAGAGAATAGCAGACAGGGAAATAGGCTTCTAAGCCTGACCTACAAAGAGTAGGGCCACCCCTCCTCCCTGGGGAAGCCCATATACAGGCCCAGTGGAGGAGCCAGGATTCAGCTGCAGGAGCCACGGGAGTTCAGGGGAGCTCCGAGGATGCAGAATGCTCATTATGCCACAGAGCTGCTGCATCTGCTAAGTACTGGGCTGGGGGGGAGGCACATGGTAGTAGAAAAGCTCTGCAATTAATTCTCTCCTTCTCCTGGAAATCCACAGCAGTCAGACTACTCAGGGCATGTCAGCAAACTGGGTCATTGGAGGAAGACAGAATTCTTCTTCCTTTATCTTGTTGAAATCCAGATCTTCCATACATTAATGAAGTGCTGCTCTTGTATCATATCACCTTCTACAAATGCTATTAGAAATGCCTTTTCTTCCTCAGTTTCCAGACTGAGGGTGGCCGATGATCCTCTCTGACAACTTCTCTGTGTGGATTGTGCACAGTAATATCCAATGTGCTTAACCTTTGCTATCTTGCATTATTAGTATATTGGGATTCTTATCAGAGATGATTAATAAAAATATCCTTAATAAAGGTTTTAGTTGCTGGGAGAGATAAAATAGCCTGTACATCTGATTCTCTTTGTCAAAGAAAGTGGCAGAAACATTGCAGCTACTCCTTTAAGGTAACACTTGCAACTGCAGCCAAATAAAAATCTTCCACTAACAGCACAGTTTTCCTGCTGTTGTCAAGGCTAAATTTAAGTTACCACAATGGGCTGGGGGAAGGTTTAAAGCAATGTCCATTACACAGTAGCAGCTTACAAACTACATCTTGAATTAAAAAAACCCCAATATGTCCTTCTGAGAAAACTGGATACAGAAGGCTCTGCTTGCAACTCAGGCAGAGTCACTGTGTAAAAGGGCTTTCATACCGACTTTGCAAATGTGATTATAATAGGCAGATGATCAAAGGTCAGCTTGCAGGCACATGATGGGAATGGAAAATAGTCAAGTGAAGAAGCTGTCATTAAAGTGAGTGATGGAAATATTTAAAAGGAAAAAATGTTGAAGAACAGAGTGTCATTCAGTAGCACTGAATCCACTATCTAGTATCTTCTAACAACATAGCACAATCAAAAAACCATACTAACTGGGGCCAACAACAATGTGTATAGGCTTCACACCCACACTTTGGACTCTCTGCAAGGTCTCAAGGCACAGGAACTCAAATTTTACATCACCATCATAACTCAAGTCATACTGTCACAAATACAGGTTTGTGAATCCTGCTGATTATGTCA